TACTTCCCAAATCCTTGACTTCATGGTCTTGTCCCAATCTGTCCTAGTTTCTGGGGTATTGACTAGTGTTCGTGGCCAGCCAAGACCCAGTCCAGGCGCAGTGGGGCTCCTCCACATCTGCCACAGTAACACCACCTTTGTTCTGTCTTATGACACTGCATCGAGGTAATGGGAAGTTGCTGTTCATTTTGTCTTAATAAGAAAACCACAGCATCTAATGTATATATTCTAAAGACTGGGATATTCCAAAACGTTTATACTAAATTTACATACTTAAATAAAAAGAGTAATTTAAACACTGTTAATGTCCAAAACCACCGTGTTTGGAAAAGGCAGGAAATGCCCGAGACTGTTTAAATTGTTTATAAATTATATCCCAAAGCTGGAACTTTACTGGATAGGAAAGATCACAATAACAGTAGCTTGGACCAGAAAGCCTTCTATGGCCCTGACCAGTGCAGCTTAGTTAGCTGGGCCTTGTTCTGCAAGGCAAGGGGCTGCCGGCTCAACTCCCAGTCAGGACACGTGCCTGGGTTGCAGGGTCAGTCCCGGCTGGTCGGCTGGTCACCTGGCCAGTTGATGTTTCTCTGTCACATTGATGAGGCCCTAAAACTGGGCTAGGTGCTCTACCCAAGCACTGCCAGTGCACTCTGTCCTTGTCCCTACTGTCACACCCGAAACTGTGTTGCTTAGTTGCTAGTCTTCCTGATCATGCACTGCAAGTTCCTCAGGGGCAGGGATCTTGATTACTCATTGATGTCCCCCTAGTGCCTGACACATAATAAAGGACTACATAAATAACTGTCGGATAACTGTTGAATAAATAACCCACTACCCTCACTTAGTGACCTGCCAAGGAGCAACAGAAGCAGGCAGGAGTGGAACTGCATGATATAGCAAGTAAGAGGCATCATTACCAAGAGCCTAGTGTTTGCTGGTTGCGAGGTGCACACAGGCTCTCCTCAAAGCGTGACTGATGGGATCCCCAGAAATTTCACTCAGTGTCCTCGTAGTGTGTCATACTACACCTGCCTACCAGGAGTAGCACCAAAGGATACTTGACATTTCGACAGGACTATTTTGACTATTTATCCAACTCTTACTCAGATTTTGGCAAAATTTGCAAGCAGTAGGTTAATTACAAACAGCTAAGCACAAAGAATGAACACTCTTCAAGAGAGGAGAAGTTAGCCCTGGCTAGTGTAGCTCAGTGGATTAAGCACCTGCCTGCGAACTGCAAGGTTGCCAGTTTGATTCCCAGTCAGGGAACAGTCCTGGGTTGCAAGCCAGGTCCCCAGTGGGTTGCGAGAGAGGCAACCACACTTGATGTTTCTCTCCCTCTCTTTCTCTCCTCCTTCTCCTCTTTCTAAAAAATAAATGAAATCTTTAACAAAAAAAAGAGAGAGAGAGAGAGAGGAAAAGTTGTTGTTGGCTATATTTTAATAGAAAATTCCCCTAGCTATATTTTAGAGAAACTAGGTGAAGTATCTATTGTGCAATTGCTTAGCACACTGTTTGGTAAAGGATTAACAGAATTTTCTACCCTTCACTGTGAGAAAAAGCCCTCTGGTTAACTCTCTAGCTCTGTTCCCCTGACAACCTACTAAAGAGTAGTGTGTCAACTATGTTGCTAGGCAATGTTACATATGGTAGAAGTGACCCCCTAACTGGTAAATTGCATCCAAACTGGGAGAACTATAAACACCTAATAAGAAGCCACACCTCTGGGCTTCTCTAAGTACAGTGCCTCTTGGAACAGATGTGTGTCTTGCGGGGACTCTAGCAGCTATGTCTAGCGGAGTTATTATAAAAGAGATTGCTCCCAAGCCGGGACAGCTCCCACACTTGCCTGATATGGATCATCTCTTTGTCCAAAACTCAGATGATGGATAAAAAAATTGCTCCCTAAAATCGCAGTTGTCAATGAAGAGCTGACAGTGGTAAAATCATCTACCTGGAGGGTCGGAGCAGATGCTAAATGCCATCCTTAAATCATAAAGCTTCTATATCATCAGATCACAATGGTGTGAGTTAGTGTCCTCTGTAAAACTAGGACATGTCAGAAACCAACCAAACTATTCCTGACAAAGAAAAAACTTTTTATTGATCTCTACAGAAGCATTATTCGAAGAAAAGAATTCAAATTTTCAGCACTATAATGAGGTTGGAGGAACATAGTAATAAGGGATGTGGTGGAAATACTGAATAAAAATTAATGAAAACATTGCCCATCGGAAGTAACTGAATAAAGTGCCCCCTTTTTTGGGTTAGAAGATAGTGTGATCACGTGAAAGCACGAGGCGAGCTATAAAGGACCCACAACCACAGGAAGAACAGGTGGTGCTCCAAACAGAGCGCAGCAGGAATTCCGCACCCACCCAACCCTCGGCCCCTTCCCACACGGTTACGCTACACCTCACACGGGACACACAGTAAAAACCCAGAAGTCCAAGTGGAACAGCCTGAATTCCGTTGACCAATGGCCACTCCAGTCTTCCCCCCTGCCCTCGGAGTCAGTGCCTGTAGTCCTTCCTGCTTGTTGTTTTCTATGTGCTTTATCACAACATCAATTAACGACAATGACAAAAAACCATCACAGCATTCTGAACCACCAGACTACACAGTTCCAAAACACTTGCAGACCACGAGGTCAGTCATTTTCTTCGGGAGCATTTTAAATCTCGGGGCCACCAAAATATTTACACCAGAATGGCATCTTTCTGCCAAATGACCACAAGTTATGTTGCTCTACATCATTTCTTCATGTATTACAATTTCAGGCCTTATTTACATTCCTCCCCAACCCTCACTGAGAAAGCCTGTCCCCTTCCCCCAAGCGAAACAACTTCCCAAGGAAACCATTTTAAATTACATTATAAGTAAGAATCCTGTTCCCATTCATGCAATATATCTAATACAAGATAAAAGTATCCCTTTGCGAACTTATTCAGAATGTGCGAGAAAGATGCCAAAACATAACCTAAATCACCAATGGTCTGTGTTGGACCCAACTGTGAAACTACTTATAAAAATATCACCAACTCCACAGATTAAACCTCAAACACACTGCGTGGATTATAAATACTGACCACCAAATATAAACATAAATTTAAAACAGGGCAGTTTATGGTCTGATAGTCCAGACAAAGATCTCCTTTACAAGTGAGGGAACTCAGCGATCTAGTTATTACAAATGCCAACACAAACCCTAAACAGCCAACCAGGAATGCAACAATCTGAAACATTATGGAAAAAAGAGAATCATTTAAATATTAAACTTCATGTTCCGTCTTCCCTCCACGGATTCTCCTACTTTAAAATTTAATAAAATGATCAAATCCCAGAGTGGTTCTAGGGGTATGAGTTGGAGTTCGAATTTCCAAGTTTCCACATCACAAACCTAATCAGATTTGGGGGCAAGTTGTGAATAATTTGGCCTCCACTCCCCATTTTACTAATCCACTATTTTCTAAAACTTGTGGGAACATAAGAGTCTATTAAATATTCAGAAGGTAAAAGGTAGCCTAAAATAGAACACAAAATTAAGTTCACTCAAAGTCTTTTTTTATATCCTACTTTTCAGTAGGGTTTCATAACCTTGAACTCTGAACATTTGGGACTGCACAATGCTTTGCTGTAAGAGGCCCTCCTGTGAACTGCAGGATGCGTAGCAGCATCCCTTCCCGGCCCCACAGCTGCACTACGTGTTAGCAGCAGGGGGCCAGCTGCAACATCTCAGAATGTCCCCAGACATTGCCAAATCTCCCTGGGGGGCAAAATCACCCTCAGTTTAGAGTCACTGTCTTACAATGATATCTCTAATGTAAAGTTTTTTATTTTACACCCAGTGATATGAATAGGTCATGAGGTCACTGAAGAGGCTCCGTGCTCTACCAGAGAACATAGGCAGATAAGTTAAACTGTGAGGTAGAAAAGTCATATGAAAACATCAAAAATACTTTATAAACAGGAAGAGCAAAAACATCAAACATAACTCCTTGCAAAGTATAGCTTCTACACATCCATTTAGGTTTGCCTTTTGCTAAGATCCCTCTTTTAAGACAACAGCTAGCCCTGACTGGTGCAGCTCAGCTGGCTGGGCGTTGTCCTACAAAGCAAGAGGTCGCTGGTTTGACTGCAGGTCAGGGCACGTGCCTGGGTTGCCCTTATGAGAAGCAACTGATTGATGATGTTTCTCACATCGACGTTTCTTTTCCTCTCCCTTACCCTCTCTCTAAAAATAAATAAATAAATAAAATCTTTTAAAAAATACACTTGTTTAAAAAAACAACAGCTAATATATTCATTGCAGATTAAGAAAAGTGTTTCCAGTCCTTAATAAGTTTCCATTTGTAACTCTTGATCTAGAACAATAATTTTCAAACTCTCTGCAGTAAAAGACCAGTTTTTAAATTTCCAATCTACTGCAGACCAACATGTGGTCCTACTGTGTGGCCTGGTGTCAAACCCACAGGCCAGCACCTATGGGTGGGCTGTAGCTTGAGTAGCACTGGCTAGAGTTTAACTTCTGAGTATAGCGTAAACACTTTCTGAACTCTACAACAACTAACATTTACAAGCCAACTTATGATGTTTTAATGATCATTTTTGTTCAAGAGGAAAAAAGGAAAGTGATTTTACCATGTCTTGATATATAAATACATAAAATTAAAGAAAGTAAAAGCCATTTCTTTTTTTTTTAAAGTTGAAAGGAAACTGTGTTTTGTTTGCATATTTGTTTCATTAGGGATTTCTTTTAAAATCCATTTTGGATACCTTAATATAAGACAAAATTATGAAAGTGCCTTGAATATTTGTTTTTAAGATTTTATTTATTTATTTTTAGAGAGAGGGGAAGGGAGAAAGAGAGAGAGAGAAACATCAATGTGCAGTTGCCTCTCACGTGCCCCCTACTGGGGACCTGGCCTGCAACCCAGGCATGCGCCCTGACTGGGAATTGAACCAGTGACCCTTTGGTTACCAGGCCAGCACTCAATCCAGTGAGCCACACCAGCCAGGACACCTTGAATATTTTTAATTGTAACATTTCCTGCTCTTTAGCCCTTTAAAGAAATGCAGCCTTTTGTGAGAGTAATTGTACAGCTGCTAAGTGGGTGAAAAGCAAACTTGTTTTAAAAACCTGTTCTACTAAACTTCCCTTTCCTTCCAGAGGATCTTTTAAAAGGTAAGAAATGTACAAACATAACTTGTTTATATGGGCTTACATTTTCCCTCCAATTAAAATTCTCTCTAGAAACTAAGTAAAAGAATGTCAGTGGTAGCTACATTTCCAGGTTACACAGCAACAGCCTTTGCAAATGGCTTGAAAAAGCAGGAGAGAATTTTTAGTTTTGCCCAGACCATATGCTTTATGAGCACACAACAGGTTATTGGTGGGTATAGAATCGTCAAATACCAAACTAAGCAGGAAAGCCATCCAGACCTGCGCTCCCAGGTCTCCTCCCGGGGCTAACTTACAATGTAATTCAACAGGGTGAGTCTAAGTGCCACGACGAGGCTTTTAGCTCGTCTCCACACTTGCCTGCACGTGCATACCCCCGGCTTTGAAAACTGCAGTCTCAGATTTAGAAAGTGCCCTTTACAATCGTGTGTTAGGCAGCCCTGCCTGCCTTATGTCAACAAAGCTTTCTCTGAAATACTTCAGAAAATTAGAATATGGAAATCGATAGGAAAAGTTAGGCAGAGGTAAGACTGATCTCAAAACTTAAATATTTTCTTGCCCACCTTTCCAGAGGACAGAAGATGACGACAAAGGAATGCAGAAGACTGAGACAATCTAAAAACAAGCATGGAGGTGTTCTTCTCCTTCTCCTAACCAGAGTTCGGGTGCACGACGGGAGGAGCGGGGAGCCTGAGGGCCAGCCCCAATTCACTCGGAATTCGGGACAGTTAAGCCATCAGCAAACCAAGGGCGCCATACTAAAAAGTCATTCGTCCTTTGAGCCACAAAATCGAACCTCTACTATGTAGTTAAACAAAAATGCAAATACGTTAACAGTGAAAACGATGTTCCTCTCAGGGTTCCACAAAATTGGACAAATGGTGGCTTTCAACCACAGAATGAGCGACGACAAATTCTAAAATCTCTTTCCCACCAAGGTACTGCTACATGAGTGTCTCTCGATCTGTTAGGTTGGGCCGCATTTGTGGCCTGTCGTCGGAATCGTCTCCAGCAGGGTCGTTCTCCTCCCCCGACTCCACGTAGATTGGCCAGTCACTGTCCGTGTCGCTCTTTTCTTGGCTCTCGGAGGAAGCCTCCACCAGGCTAAGGTTGATGGGCATCAAATCGTCCTCGTCTTCATGTGCGTCTGTAACGCAGGTGCAGCTGTCACACAGCCCAAAGCGCCTCAGCCCCTGTGACAGGTGACTCGTGAAGGTTCTTCTGCAGCCCTTGCAGATGATTGGACGGTTGGATCTGTGGACCTAAAATTACAAGCAGACAAAGTAAATGTCACAGAAATGGAGCTGAATCACAGCCTTCAAGGCCCCACCGATGTGGGCCCTGGTTGACCCTGCAGCCTCATTCCTCACCACTCTTCCTGCTGTGCCATCAGCTGCAGTCTCAGCCTCACCAAGGTCCTTGCCGCCTCAGAGCCCCTGGACATCCCTGGGAATTGCCTTCCTCCCCATCGCCAACCCCTCCCCCTTACTAATGCTTTCAGACAAGTCTCTGATGCTCCAGACCAGGTTAGGTCCCCCAGCTATATATTTTTACTTCTACTTCCTTGATTATACAGCAGTATCCCATTATCTGTGGGGAGTATGTTACAAAACCCTTCAGGAATGCCTGAAACCACGGATAGTACTGAACCATACATATGAGGTCTGTCTGGAAAAAGTGCAGCCACTCTCAATATAATGAGAACAGTTCGTGTGACATCGATGTAACCTGGCAGTCAAGAATTGTGGACTGCAATGCACATGCGTGAACAATGACCTCACTGTACTAGGCAGTGGTGACAGTACATGCAGGTAAGTAAGCGTGTATTGTATAGCCGCTGCACTGAAAATGACTGAGCAAGGGAACTTCCGGTCAAGATGGTGGCACAGGCAGACATGGCTCACCTCTTCACACAGCCACATCAAAATTACAACTAAAATGTAGAACAACCATCTCTCAGAACCGTCAGAAATTGAGTTGAATGGAAGTCTAACAACTACAGAATTAAAGAAGCCACATCAATCCAAACTGGTAGGAGGGGTGCAGATGTGGAATGGGCTGGTGCCTCACCCTCGTGTTGCAGATAAAAATTCGGGAGGGATACTCAGGAGCTAGGAGTCCCAGCCCCACACCAGGCCACCCAGCCTGGGGTTCCAGTGCCAGGAAGATGAAGTCCCCGCAACTTCTGGCCGCAAAACCAGTGGGGATTGAGTCAGTGGAAGAAACTTCTTGAGTCCCAAGCAGTTCCTCTTAAAGAATCCACACATGGACTCACCCACTCAGACTCACTCCCTCTGCGCTCCAGCACCAGGGTAGCAGCTTTAAAGGCACCAGTGGCACACAGGGAGAAACCTAAGTGTCTGGCATCAGGGCAAGCAGAGGCCACAGTCCCTTTACAAAACCCCCACCACAGAGCAGGCAAGCTGGTGCCATATCTGAGACTCCATCAACTTAGTTAACACTGTTTGACCTGCCTTAGAGATCCCCAGAGACTCTGCCCCACCCAACTTACAGGCCCACCCAAACTGCTTTTCCACATGAAAGGCCAGCCTTGGTTCACACATCACAACTTCCTAAATCCTATCAAACAAGCCAGGCCAGGCTCTAGCAGCAGGCAGCTCTGATTCACAGCTTGGCTTCACCTGGGAATCTCCAAGCCAAACACAAGTAGCAGCCTTATTGCTTTATAGCTCAGGCAGGGTGGCCCTGGGCGAAAACACAGGTTGGGGCCGACCTTGGCCTGTACCACTTGGGAACCCCAGAGCCAGTGCACCCTGTGGACAGGTACACACAATGTTGGAGCACCGCCACCCTGCCCCTGCACAGCTGATCCTCCACAGAGGGTGGAGGTTGGCGGTCAGTGGTCACAGCCAACCTTTCCAGCTGACAGGCCTGGGTAGATCTCACCCACTGATCTGCCAACAGCAACCAAGGCTCAACTACAAGAGGAGGGTGTACTCAGCCCACACGAAGGGCGCACCTCAAGTACCCATCCAGGGTCATAGGGGAGGCTGTGCCACTGGACCCTACAGGGGCACCTACTACACAAGGCCACACTACCAAGACACAGAGTCAAAGCAGTTCTACCTAACACACAGAAACAAACACAGGGAGACTACCAAAATGAGGAGATACAGAAACATGGCCCAAATGGAAGAACGGACCAAAACTTGAGAAAAAGAGCTAAATGAAATGGAGATATGCAATCTATCATATGCAGAGTTCAAAACACTGGTTATTAGGATGCTCAAGGAAATTAGTGAGGACCTCAACAGCATGAAAAAGACACAGTAAGAAACAAAGGATAATTGAAATAATGAATAATTTACAGGGAAACAACAGTAGAGTGGATGAAGCTGAGAATCAAATCAATTACCTGGAACATAAGGAGGCAAAAAGTGTAATAAAATGAGGTGCACAGCACCTACACACCTCACCCCCACCTCCACACAGGTGCTGGGGTTGGGTGGGAAACTGAAAATGCAGCTGACCTTCGGCATCACACCGGTGACACGGACTCAGAATCACCCATCTGAGCCCTGGGGTTCTTTGCCTATGACAACCACCCCTGACCAAGAATCTAAACTTTCTTAACTCTTCTCTAGGAAAACCATTCTGTTACCGTAAGTTTTAACTTACTCTAAGTGCCAGCAACACAGCTTCAATTTAATAGTAGAAACATGTTTAAAATTCTCTGAAAATACTACAGTGGACAGAGATGTGAAAGATACTTCTAACCCTTACATTAGACCAGTAATTTTCAACCTTTTTCACCTCACGGCACACATATGCTAATTGCTAAAATTCGGTGGCACACAAAAAATTTATTTTTTGCCTATCTGACAAAAAATAGGTATAAGTTTTGGGTTTTTTTATAAGATTTTATTTATTTATTTTTAGACACAGAAGAAGGAAAGAAGAAAGCGAGTGAGAGACAGACATGTGCTCTGACTGGGAATCGAACTGGCGACCTTTCGGTTTGCAGGCCCATGCTCAATCCACTGAGCTATACCAGCCAGGGCCTAAATTTTTGTTTTTATTGAGTGATTTTAGAAAGGGATGAAGGGGGAGAGAGAGAGACAAACATCAAGTTGTTGTTCCACTTATGTATGCGATTGCTGGTTGATTCTTGTATGTGCCCTGACTAGGGACTGAACCTGCAACCTTGGCATATCAGGACAATGCTCTAACCAAATGAGCTACCCTGCCAGGGTAGTATAGTTGTGATTCATTCACACTGGATGACTACTGTTGTGTTGGCTGTTGTCATTTTTTTATTTGACAATCCAAGGGAAAAGAGGTCGGTGCCCCTGACTGAACAGTCAGGTATTGCATGTTCAAAAATTCTTGTGGAACACCGGTTAAAAATCACTGCATTAGACAAATGTCAGGAGCCACCCCACACACACCACAAGAGAACCGCCAGCTCACTTACGCTCAGGGCATGGCTCCGCAGATGCTCCTGTCGAGTGAACCTCTTGCCACAGGTCTCACAGGGGTAGGGCCGCTCGCCCGTGTGTGAGCGGATGTGACGCTTAAGGATGCCCTTCTGTTTGGCAGTGTAGGGGCAGAAAGGACACTTGTGGAGCTTGATGGGGACCACCAGCACGTCACCTGGGAAACCAAATGGATTGATTTAGCTGTACAGTAAGCTGCAACAACACTGCCTCCGATGGATGGCATTTGGGGCTGGGGGATTCTACCAGCCCAGATCGAGATGATGGATCAGACCCCTGGACCAGGGTTCTTGCTTTGACAGCCGCTCCTCGGCACGGCTTCCAGGCACATACAGAGAGGTTTGCTACAAAGCAAATTTATTGCCCCCCCCCGCCATCGATTATCCTCCCCTCTCCTGGTTCATGCCCACCGGTAAATAAACATGCTTTTAGATCTTTCACCTTAATAAAAGCCCTGCACTCATGGCCCCCTTCAGCTACCAATGCACTTCTTCGTTCCCTTCACAGTGAAACTCCTTGAAAGAAGCATCTAGACTCACTATCTTCACACCCATTTCCCTTTTAGGCCTACTCAGTTTGGTCTCCCCCGGCACCCCAATCATGAATATTGCCCTTTGTCGGGCCCCCTAATGACCTCTCCATTGCTAAACCCAGTGATCAGTCCTCCTCTGCCTGTACATAGTGAGGGACAGAGTTGATTTCTCCTTTTTCTTGAAAGACTGTCTCCTCTTGGCATCCATCCCTCTTTCTCGATTCTCCTCCCATCTCACTGCCTACCCCTTTTCAGTCTCCTTTACTGGGTTCTCCTTATTTCCCTGGCCTCTAAAGGTTGGGGCTCCCCAGGGATCAGTTCTTAGATCTCTTCTCTTCTCCTTCTAGATCACAGGTGGCAAACGCAAGGCCCGCGGGCCGAAACCGGCCTGGCATCTTCTTTTATCTGGCCCGGCACCTTGTTTCCACTGGCAGCAGCACCGAGCTCTCCCTTAACTGTTAAGGTGTAGTTACATTGATACAGCCCTACAATTACACCTGGCCCTCTGAAGGCAACTTTCAGGCTGGTGAAATGAGTTTGACACCCCCGCTCTAGATCTATGGGATAGATAGGTTTGAAATTCCACGGGCCCATATTAATGACTCCCAACTTTCTATCTCAGTTCTGACTTCTCCCCAGAACTCCAAACTTACCTTTGTAGATGCAATTACATCCTGAACATCTGTGGTTGGATATCCCATTGGCATCACAAACGTAACATGTTTAAATTAACTGCTCAAGCTAAAAACTTTAGGGTCATCCTTAACCCCTCTTTTCTCATACCGCTCACACAAGCCATTAGCTTTCACGCCGATCAGTGTGAATTGTCCTCCCTCCCCTCCAAAGCCAGCCTGTCCCCTCCACTAGTGCACAGGATCCCATCGCCCCTTGCTCTATTAATTGCCCTTCCTCTTCCATCATCAATCATCCTCCTCTCTCCTGCTACCACATGGAGTCGAGGAGCACATCTCTCAGGAGGAGTAACTGGGTAATTGCAGTTACTTCCTCCGAAGTGATCCTCCTGCTTCCACCCCTACTCCCCTAGGTCTACACTGCCCTGGGCTCTATAGGTGGAGAGCAAGGGAGGAAGCAAGAGGAGCACTAAGGAGGATACTGCGCACAGTACCCAAAGGGATCCTTTTACTGTACTAGGCTGAGATCCTCTAGTGGCTTCCTTGCTCAGAGTAGTGTCCTAAGGCCTTCTCATGGCCTGCAAGACCCTACCTGGCCTACCCTCACCCAAACTCCTGAGCTCACCCCCCAGAACTCTCTGCCATGCTTACTTTACTCCAGCCAACACCAGCTGTTCTCTTGGGTCACTCGCCAAATGCTGCCCTGCACCTGGGCCTGTGTGCCTTGCTCTTCTCTCTGCCTAAAATGTTCTTCCCCCTGATATCAGGACAGTTTGCTCTTTTACTGCCTTGAGGTTTCTGCTCAAAAACAGCTTGCTAGGAAAGGCTTCCTCGTCAACGCTAAATAAAATAGCATCCCCTTCCCTTTCTATCAAACTTTTCCCTGCTTTAGTTCTTCTTCATGTTACATATTCAAGTATTTGTTTGTTGTCTGTCTCCCTCCACTAGAATGTCAGCTTCATGAGGACAAGGACTGTCTTTTGTTCTCTGGAATAAACAATGCTTGGCCTGTACTAAATGCTCAGTAAATATCTGTTGAGTGAATGAACAAACAAACAGAAGTGAAAAGATGTTGACGAAGCAAGCCAATGATGGAATGCTGGACATTAAATGACCCATGATGAGGCTGAAAAGAAACAGGCAGAGGTAACAGCAATGGGTACTCCTGGTGTCAGAAGCCAGGGTAAGAAAGAACTGCAAGGAGAGGAAGGTCAGAGTCCACTGCTGAGGGAGGTCAAGTAAGAGAACACCTGAAAATCACTCTTTACCATACAGCTGACCTCATGACAGAGGTTTCAGCGGTGTGTAGCGGGCAGAAGCCAAGCTGCAGTGGGCTGAGGAAACAGTGAGAAATGAAACAGTGGAGGTAGCAAATGTAGATGAACTTTCCAAGAAGTGATAGGAGGTGCTAGAGCTGGGCTTGGAAGGTCGGGAAGGAGAAGATTATAGCAGGACCTAATGCTTTGACAGTGTCTGCGAATGTGGGGATGGGCAACAGGGACACAACTACCACAACAACTTCCTGCCATCTCCCTGCCCTGGTCTCCCAGCGGCACACCATCTTGTGCTAAGGCCAAATTAAACTTCCTGAAGCACAAATCCTGTCCACTCCCAAGCTCAGGGACTACCGAAGATCTCCCTTGTGCCTACAGATAAAAACCTCACCTCTGCCCTGGCTGGCGTAGCTCAGTGGATTGGGCAAGGCCTGCGAACCAAAGGGTTCCCAGGTTTGATTCCCAGTCAGGGCACAGGCCTGGGTTGCGGGCCAGGTCCCCAGCAGGGGATGCTTGAGAGGCAACCACCTACTGATGCTCCTTTCCCTCTCTTTCTCCTTCCTTCTAAAAATAAATTTAAAAAACCCTCATCTCTTAGCATTCAGCATTTTCCATGATCTGACTCTAGTCAATTTTCTCCTATGTCTCGTCTTCTTACCCTCAGATGCCACATTCATACAGCCTCCCTGATATCCCAGTAGGAAGCCAGTTCTCCTGCTTTTGGACAGCCGGGAAGCTCACGCCTCCATCTGTCTTCCAGCCCTAGTACCCTTCGACCATGTGATGCCAATTATGCACATGTCTTATCTTATTCTTTGAGGGTCGGATCTATGTCCGACTTATCTTTGTAGCTTCACCAAGAAGGTACTCAAATATTTTTTTAAAGATTTTATTTATTTATTTTTAGAGAGGGAAGGGAGGGAGAAAGAGAGAGAGAGAGAGAAACATCAATGTGCGGTTGCTGGGGACCGTGGCCTGCAACCCAGGCATGTACCCTGACTGGGAATCGAGCCTGCGACCCTTTGGTTTGCAGCCCGAGCTCAATCCACTGAGCTGCTACGCCAGCCAGGGCGGTACTCAAATATTTAAGCAAATAAATGAATGACCAAACAAATCAGTCCTACTCAGTGCCTTGGCACTTGGAATAAATTTAGCCTGGAGCTGTGTGCATGGAATCAAAACCTGGAGGGCACCAGACCTGGCCGGGGGCCAGGTGGCTGCCTCGCCACAGCACCCAGTAGCTGGAAACCTGACTTCACAGCCTGACACTCAAGACTTGAATGAAGGTAGCAGGCAGCTGAAGCACAGCTTGATACTTGTGCTTACAGGCAGCTTGTGCTGAAAGCTAAAACAATTGCACTAAAATCCTCGATCCAACTGTGCTCCTTCAATCTGTGCAGTGAGTGAAGTGAAGCCAGCCCAGGTTTCTAGTTTTAGCTGCGCCGCTTACCAGCTCTGCGTTCTCAGGAAACTCACTAAACCCTTCTGAGTCTCGGTTTCTCTGCACTTCCTCTGCCAAACTCACGGGCATGAGGAAGGTCTAATGACTGTGAAAGGGTGAGCAGAGTCTGGGAAGGGCTCTAACCTGCATGGAACTGAGGCTGCAACAAGTCCCCGCAGAGCACTCACTGAAAACAGCCGCTACCATCTACATGTTGGCTGAGACAGTGTCTCTGAGGACCAAAACAGCATTTCTGAGTCTTTCAAGTCTAATTTTAATCAGACACACACAATGTTCTGCTTCAAAAAATTGAAATGAAAAAAAAAAAACCCTAAAGACAGGCATATACTAACGAATAAAAGCAGCTGAACTCCATTATTTAAAATACTTTCATTGTTCCATATTGAAGGGTATATAAGAATTTGATTCATTAATTTCTTTTGGCTTTAGGTCCTGGAAGCTATAGGATGCTTTCATCAGGAAGGTGACAGCCAGATCTATTTCTATCTCCCACGAGACACTTTACCACACAATTAGCTCAATGTTAAGAAGAGTTAACTCTTGAGCGCAGGCTGAGAACCAAAGTATCGCAGGTTCGATTCCCAGTCAGGGCATATGCCTGGGTTGCAGGCCACGGACCCCAACAACCACACATTGATGTTTCTCTCTCTCTCTGTCTCTGTCTCTGTCTCTCTCTCTCTTTCTCCCTCCCTTCCCTCTCTAAAAATAAATAAATAAATAATATATAAAAAAAAAAAGAAGAGTTAACTCATCTTTCAAAATTGTTCAGGGACAAAACCAAGTGCTCTTAAAACAAAAAAGCCTACCAAAGGATATAAGAAATTTACTCACATGAAGCCAAAGGCTGACTCTAAAATATTCTCAAGTAGGTCATACCATTGACCATAACATGTTAGTGAATGGCTTTGTGCCAGTCACCATGGTTGGCACAAAGAAAAATAAATTCCCTACCTGTCTAGAACATGTTAGCATACATGACAAAAGATTATGAACACCCTGTCATTTGGTCCTCAGTCCTGTGAAAAGCAAGACAGAGATGATTATCTCTAGAACAAAACAGGTCCAGAGAGATTTAGTGATTTCACCAAAATCCCACCGCTGGTTGGTACAAGACAGTAGTTCTTTCCATGTCTTCAAACTGCCCTCAACATGCCTACACGCTAGTTGTAGAGGTAAAATACATACATGAAGAGACAATGACCCACTCAATTAGTACCTATTGGTTGTAGTGGTGGCAGCTATGATGTGGTGAGAGTGATGGTGGTGGCAATGACAGCATTGGTGGTGGTGGTGGTGATGGTGATGATGGGAGACTACAAGGCACAGATGTGGGTGCTAAATGACCAGCGAAGATGATGAATGATAATGGCGCTCACCTGAGTCCTCCCCGTACCAGTCGGCCTGGACATCCATCATGGAAGTCATGGCTCCTCCCATGCCATCTGGTCTTCCCTCCAGACTCCGAGAAAAGTGATGGTCCACATCATCTTTGCCCTGGACAGCACTGTTGCGCAGGAGGGCCTCCAGGAATTGCTTTACATGGAAGTTACTGTAAGCCAAGTCCACGGCCTGGCCACTGGGCAAACCCTCCTCCATGTGGGCCAGGCTCAGTGGGGCAGCGTACTGCTGTAGCTGCTCACCAACCTCCACCTCCACTTCGTCAGCATCAAACTCCACCTTGGGCTCTATCTGTTTGGGCAGAGTGGAGAGGTCACTGTCCGCTGAGCCACTGCCCTGGCTGTCTTTCACCAGCAGTTCCAGGGGGTGGCAGCCTCTGCAGTCCCCGCAAGGGGACTCTCTTGGACAATCCACACGCTCTTCTTCCTCAGCGGGACAGGAGACCAAGCTCTTGGTATCACAGGAGGTCCCCTCCTTGCTAGAACTGGAGCTTCCACTGTCAACCTGATGAACTGCTGCTGCAGCCGCCGCTGCCGCCGCTGCCACCGCTGCAGCCATGGCAGCCTCCTTCTCCATCTTCCGGCAGATATCCAGGGATGACCTGATGTATGTCTTGCAGAAGTTCACCACGTCATTCATCTGCAGGTAGCTGGCGGCTGACATAACTTCAATCACATTCTCCCCACACAAATCCAACTTCCCGGAATAGAGGAAATCTAAGATGATGGAAAAGGCATCGGAGGTGACAATGTCCAAGGAGGCGGTGCTGTGCCGCCCGCTGTCCTGGATATAGTGAATGAGTAGGGCTCGGAAGTAGCCACTGTTGGCAAACAAAATGTTCCTGTGGGCCTTGAAGATCCGCCCTTCCACAATGATGCTGCAGTCACAGAAAAAGTCCCTCTTTCGCTGTTCATTCAGCTCTCCCAAGAGCTTGGCATAATAGGACTGCACCTCCATTTCTCCACCAGCTGCTGCTGCTATTCTGGAGTAGCCTGTATCCCTGCCAAGAATTTTGAAAAGTTAATTCACAAATTCCAACTTTACAAATAAGATGTCTATTTTTAATATTTTTATTTCTTTAGAGATTTCATTTATTTTTCAGAGAGAAGGGAAGAGGGGGGAACAAGTGGGAGAGAAACATCAGTAGGTTGCCTCTTGCAACCCAGGCATGTGCCCTGACCAGGAATTGAACCTTAAACCGGCGACCTTTTGGTTCAAAGGTGGGCATTCAAGCCACTGAGCCACACGGAGCCAGGACATTTTTATTATATTTTTTAAATTCTTCTCAAGACACTGGTTCAACAGTGTCTTTATATATGGGCTATTTTGGATCTAATAAAAATCAGAGGTTGTCCAACTCTGTTACGTTTTGAGAAACAACAAAAAATAACTAGAGCTAACTACATGTGGGCAGAGTACATGGCGTTTGATTCTTTCAATGAATTTTTAGAAACACCCTATGACAAAACACCAATATTGTCCCCGTTTTTCTGATAAGGGCAAGAGACTCAAAGAAGACAATATGACACAGTTGCAACAGAGCCAGGACTCAAAACCAGGCTGGTTAACCTCCAGAGTTCATGCTCTGATGCACTACACTCTACTTTCTTCAAGGCTCCAACTACAGATAACACCCAAGCCTGAGAATTACCCTTCAGTCTACACTGTCCTGATACACAGCTTAGAGACTGGCAAGTAGTCTCAGCTCACACCTCTTATGATCACTTTGTGGAAACATTGGTGGATTCTTGGGCCAGCATGCATTGACCATTCTTATGGTTTCAGTGTCCTTTTTGGCTTTGGTTGGAACCATCCTTCCCCATTCTTGGTCAATGTGCTTTGCATCTAGCTGGTGCCATTCCCAGGCTCCACCAGTTGTCCACAATGATTGGCTCAAAGATGGCCACAAGGCTTGGTCAGAGCCAATGAAAAGCAATGAAATGTTTACTGGGAGTTCAAAAAAAGTGCACTCTCTCCTGCTCTGCAGGCAGGTGCAGTATGAGGGATGCTGCCGCCACCACCAGGAGAACCGGCCTAACAAGGATGACAACCCAGCTCAGGGAGGGGTAACAGATGGACCCAGGGACACCATCTAAGCCCCAACTTCTGCTGTGCCAGAAGCCAGTTAAGTTCCTTTTTCCTTTTTGCTTAGCTTGTATACGTCTTCCCTCCTTCCTTCCTTCCTTCCTTCCTTCCTTCCTTCCTTCCTTCCTTCCTTCCTTCCTTTCTTTCTTTTCTTTCTTTCTTTCTGTTTATTTTATTCTCATTTGAGAGAGAGGGAAAGCAGGGGAGGGGGGGAGAGAAAAAGAAAGAGAGAGAGAGAGAGAGACATCAATGTGAAACATCAATTAGTTGCATCCTATGACTGGGCATGTGCCCTGACTGGGAATCGAACTGGTGACCTTTCGGTTATGGGGATGATGCTCCAACTGAGCCACTCTGCCCAGGGTTGAGTTGGGTTTTCTATCTCTTGCAAGTGAGAGACTCCTGGCTGATTGACTCTACTACCCTTGGTTTACTCCTCTGTATTTCTGTGTCCTGGCCCTTACCTCTCTGTGGACTACAAGCCGTATGATCCGTGTCTTATTTCATTTGATATCCCCCACAGCACCTGACAGAGTGCTTTGGACAAGGTACATTTGCTAAATACAATGAAATACTCTTTTCTTAACTGCTAAGTAGAACATGTATAAATCAAATTCAAAATCTTTCTGCTAAAATTCCATCTGCGTATATGCTTTTGCCGGTATATGCATGCATTTTTTCTGGAAGGTTATATAAGCAGGAGTTATCTTCTTTCCCAAGCTCTCTGCTCCATCTTTCCCCATCACACAAGCCACAGAACCATCCAACAATACCCCTTTTACTTACTGACCCACCAAGTTCAGAGAAGTGTCTACAACCAAGCACACCATTTCCCTTTACTGAAATTGCAAAAAGCCTAGTTAGAGCTGCTGGCCATAGCTAATGACTCTTTAACATTCTTCCTTTCTACAACTGGAGCACAACAATGCCTTACCCAACCAGAAATCGGGCACTCTCTTCCCCCAAAAAGGGTCCTTCCTCTGGCAAAACTAGATCCCCAAAGTCCTAACACAATAACCGCACAGACTTTACTCATACAAGACCCACAACAACCTTGGTAAAGGGCAATTTACACTGACTTCATTCATATGCATAACAAGTGATGCATTAAGGTTGGAAACTAGAGAACCAATTAGGGCCAGAAGTGGACAGGAGCCTCTCTAAGCAAGTAAAGTGACAAACTTAAAAGTGAGAACTGACAGCTAGGAAAAGGTAAAACCATTCTAAAAAACTAGACCTATGCATTTTTTTCAAAATATCAGCCTGAGGCCATTTAGCTAAGGGCATTGAGGGCTCCTACATTCTCCAAATGGCCTAAGGACATCACTAAATTATAGCCCAGGGCTATAACAGATGAGCCTAAGCCATCAAGAAGACTTATCTTTTTATATTAGTCTAAACTCAGGGAAGTTATGTCATAATTTTGGAAATTCTCACCCAAAGTAGTTAGAATTAGTATTTGGTGCAGAAAGGAAGAGAACTGTCAGATACCTGAAAAATTCTACTATTCCCAAATAAATCACCCCTGAAAGTTTGCACAGGACTACAGTTTTGTTTCATCATTCTCACCTCTTCTGGCTGCTCCACCCAAGCCTTTCCAGCAGTTCCTACTACTGCCCCAGCAATCAAAATGGTAAGAGAAGAACAAGATATAGAAAAATGCTACATTTAGATACCACATTGGCCCTGAATGGTGTGGCTCAGTGGATTGAGTGCTGGCCTATGAACCAAAAGGTTGCCAGTTCAATTCCCAGTCAGGACACATGCCTGGGTTTTAGGCTAGGTCACCAGTGGGGGTGGGTGAGAGGCAACCACACATTGATGTTTCTCTCTTTCTCTTTCTTCTTCCCTTCCCCTCTCTGGAAATAAATAATATCTTAAAAATAAATAAATAAATACCACATTGTATGCTTCCTCAGAACTGAAAGAAAACCCATCAGACTGGTAAAATCACATTTTTTTAATGTGATAATATCCACTATTGATGGGAATATAAATTTGAACACCATTTTAGAGGGGAATATTTATCCAGCTTAAAATGTACATATCTTTTGCCCCAGAAATTTCATTGCTAAGAATTTACCCTTTTGGATGTATTCTAAAAAATGCACTAAATTATAATTTCAGAGATGCCAGCAATTACACCAGGTCTTTTTGTACTAACGCCAACAGAGAAGTTAAATCAATGAAGTGCAATCACACAGGGAACTACTAGGCAACCATGTTTTCAATGAGCTAGAGCTGGGTGTGTTTATATGAAAAAGGACACTAAGATACAGTAAAAGAGAAAAAGGCAAGATGCAAAACAAAATATACAGTATGAGCCTATCCTTGCATATGTTTTTGCTGGTATATGCATACATTTTTTTCTGAAAGCTTATACAAGCAAATACCCTTGAGGAGAAGGAATATGGGCAAGAGATGTGTGGTAGGAACTTCCATTTTCCTTTGCAACCTCTGTACTGTTAGTGTGTTCCACTGTGTACTTGTATTGCTTTTTTTTTTTTCCTAACAAACAAAGGAGGAGGGGCCAAGGGGTGAGTAGTTGGCAAACCAGGGCGATAAACATCTAAGTAGGCACAACACTTCTGAACTTGTACAGTGGTCTTACCTGCAGGGCCTCCTCCCAGGACACTTCCATCTTTTTTCACTGGAAGATGCTCCTTTTCAACAATAGCACTCAAAATCCATTTCCTTTGGCTTACTCTCTGCAAATATTCTAAACTCTATTGGCTCATGCGAATACTCCCTGACTTTGCACAAGTCTATCCACATACTCCCTTCAAAACTTGCCTCAATCCTACATTGGCATATAATGTGAAAACATTCATTCACATTAATCTTAGTTGCCTTTGGTGCTCTGTGTCCCTGGGACATGCTGAGGATCAACATTTCTCCCAGAAAAGCAGCTCTTGGGGCATACTGCTCTCAGAAGTGCATTTATCCACACTCTGGCAGGCATCCTCCCAACCTTCCCACAGTTCCAATTCAACAGTTACTAGCTACAAACAATGCCCAACACAAGGAAGATGCCAAGAACAGAAAAATGAACCTAATACTACATAGTGCCTGTCCTCCAGGAGAGGGCAGATGTCAACACTATCACCTGCAATGAACTCCCACATTCCCCTGAAGGAATCCTACTCAGCCAAATCACAAGGCGGTCTTCATTCCGACACCAATAGCAGCCTTGAATTCCAACCACTGACTCCAGACAAGACTCCTCCAGGTTCACTGACCTGAGAATAAGGAAACCTGCTCATCAATTGTTAGCATTCACTGAGAACTACTCACGAAGCACTGTACGAAGACTTTACAAATGTTAATTAATTTTAACCTCACAAGAGCCCGATGCAGTAGACACATCATTACATCCTCTTTTTCCGAGGAGAAAACTGCGGTTCAGTCTTACAGATTAGCACACCCAAAGCTAGGATTTGAACTGAAGTCGGTTTGATTCCAGACTTGACACCCTTAACCACCATGCCAGCCTGACTCCCCAAACCCTCCAGGACACAATGAGAAGGGTTAGGAAGTCACTCTTTCCCCAAAACATGGAACAGAGGGGAAGGACACGGAAGAAGTTTCCATTTCTACAGAATTGCAGGGTGAACTGCATTTTTGGTTCACCCGATAAATTGTTCACAGGATAAGGGGGTCCTCCCCGGTCCGGACCCAGACGACCGGAACTTTGGCCTCAGCGCGTAGGGAACCGAGGCCTTCCTTGCCCCTCCCGTGGCCTCCGCGGACAAAGTGGCCATCGTTACGGCGGGCACTGCCTCGTGCCCCCGCACCTTCTGGATGAGCCCACTCCCCGACCACCCTGGTGGACCACGCCGGGGGACAGCCTAATGCCAGGGAAGGTGGGGGACTCTGCCTTCACGGCGCCCGTCTCCAAGCTTAAGAGGAGATTGGGGGTAGGTCATTCGCTGCGGGTATCTGGGAGTCGCCAGGTCCGGGCGGTCGGAAGAAGGCCGACTGAGATGCAGCCTCCCTGCCCGCTGACCCCCGGCCAGGGCCGACCTGCCGAGTGTCCTGGATCCTGCCCAAGTCAATGAAAGCGGCAGCGCGAAACCGCTTCTTGGTTCTCACCTTCCAGCGGGTCCCAGCAGCGCCTCCAAGAACCTACGTGCACCGACACGCCCCCCTTTCATTCACGGGTCGCCCCCTCCATTGAGAGGCGGGGTAGCCAACCAATCATGGTGCGCCTGGGCTCAGGAAGGCGGGCCTTCGACCAATAGGTTAGTCAATGGCGCCCGCGCCCCCTCAGGAGGATGCGCTCTGAAGGCTTCATTGCTCGCGGGGTGATGGGAGTTGTGGTCTCAGCGTTTGTTTTTCGGTGAAAGATATAGTGGACAAAACTACAAGTACCAAGATGCCAAAAAGGGCAAGAACCAGCGCTAGCCAAAGGCCCTTCGGTCTTCTGAGTCCCACTTGAGGGACCTGCGAAGTATTGATCTCTTTGTCCGGAGAGCTAAAGGCGCGTCATGCATATTAATACAACCTGGAGAGTAAAGGCTATGACTTTTCCGTGCCCCTCCGCAAAAAAATCTGGAAATGTGTGAAATGGTTTAATCTACTCAACAGGTTTTTTTATTATATTTTTTCCATTATCATTTAGTCCCCTTATACCCCTCACTCCCCCGCCATCACCACACTATTGTCCATGCCCATGAGTCCTTTTTACTCAACAGGTTTTGATAGAATACTAGCTACCTTTTTTTCCCCTTGAAAGGCTTTCAGGTTCGTATAACACTTAAATAGCAGTACAAGGTGTTAAGCAATGGTACAGGCAAGATCTGGCATGGCTGTGAACAAGATACAGGTTACTGTTCTCCAGGAACTTAATTTTAATGGGGGGTGGGGTGTATTAGCCATTAGGGCTGCTGCAATAAAGTGTCACACGTTAGTTTAAACAACGCAAATTCATTGTCTCACAATTCCGGAGGCTAGAAATCCAAAATCAAGGTGGTGGTAGCATCGGTTCCTTCTGAGGCTATGAAGGAAGGATCTGTTCCTGTCCTCTCTCCTTGGCTTATAGGTGGCCATCGTCACATTCACATGGCCTTTCCCCTTGGCCTTCTGCGTTCATATTTTCCTTTTTTTAAAATATAAGGACATCAGTCATATTTAGTAAGGGATTCACTCTATCCAACACAAAAGTTATTTGAATAATTACATCTGCAGGCAGAACTGTAAGCAGAGCATCTCATTGTCCACTTTGCCTAAAAGGAGAAATGGCCTAAGGTCAAGATCTGTACCAGTTCACAGGCAGTGACTAATGATTTGAGCAGCTCAGAGCTAAAGATTAGAAGGTTACAACAAACAGGTGTGGGAAGCATGGATCCCCCTTGAATAGGCCCAGCTCGTGAGACAACAGGTATGCCATATGAATGCTCGCTATGGGCTCCCGAGTGTTCAGTGGATTCATGGACAAAGGACCGTGATGACAGGGGTAAAGAACAAGGATACACCCTCACCAAAGCCAAGCTAGCAACCACCGCTACTGATACCCAGTTTGCCCACAGCACCGGTCAGCTCTGAACCCTTGAATTGGTATCATACCTGGAGGGCACCAGCCAACTACTTGATGGCAAATTGATTACATTGGACCACGTCCCTTGTGATGGAGGTAGGAATTTGTTTCCCTAGAAGAGGCACTTACTCTGGATTCGGATGTGCCCCACAGGCCTCTGCCGGCACCTCCATGAGTGGACTTACTAATCAGTCTTGGTATCCCACACAGTATCGTTTCTGATCATGGAAGTCACTTCACAATAACGAAGTGAGACACTGAGCTGACAGCCACAGGATTCACTGGTCTTACCATGTGCTCCATTGGCCAGGATTCTAGAATGTTGGAAAGGCCAATGGAAGGTCCAGACAAGGTTCCCTCTGTTAAACACTTCGTGAGATAGAGCGCCATCTACAGGATGCAGTGATGCACTGAACCACTGTGCTGTCTCTCCTTTAGCCAGATACTGAGTTCAAGAACCAAGGGGGCTAGATGCAGGAGAGGGGCTCCTCTCACAATAAAACTTTTTGACTCAAAAACTTTTGTTTCTTAGCCCTATGACTGTAGGGAGGGGAGGAATGCTAAAAGCTCTTAGTGACCGAGGGAGGAATGCCTCTACTAAGTGATGAAATTTTTCCACTAAAACTGAAAGTTGAAATTGCCACTCAACCATTTTGAATACTTCTTGCCTCTAAACAGAAAGGAACAATTGAAGAAAGAAAGAAAGAAAGAAAGAAAGAAAGAAAGAAAGAAAGAAAGAAAGAAAGAAAGAAAGAAAGAAAGAAAGAAAGAAAGAAAGAAAGAGAAATCAAGGTGTCATATGGGTTAAAAACTCTGGCTATCAAGGAGAAGTAAGTTGTTATCATACCACAGGGGCAGGGAGGCTTAGTGATAGACTCAACTGTATCTCTAAGGGTCGTGTTCCTACCACAAATCCTGTGATCAAAGTTACCGTAAGACTACTGCAATTCTATGCAAGACAACTTCACAGGGCACAGATCTCTCAGGAATGAAGGGTTGGATCTCTTCTGTGGGCCAAGAACTTGACCATCTGTTACTAACTGAAGGCAGAAGGAACCTGAGATAGTGAAGAGGAAAAGTCACAAATACAAGAGCAGTCTTAGAATGGGTTACAGAGGGGAGGATGATAGTCTGTATTTGATCTTCTTTCTTCAAAGTATATATTTACATATTTCAAATAGTTTTTCTTCTCTTTCTTCTCCCTTTCCCCTATTATTGTCTCCAAGTGGTTGTCTAGGGAGAGTAATTCACAATTTAGTCATAGATTGCAGATTTTTGTTTAAAGATTTTATTTATTTATTCCTAGAGAGTGGAAAGGAAAGAGAGAAACATCAATGTGTGGTTGCCTCTCATGTGGCCCCCACTGGGGACCTGGCCCGCAACCCAGGCATGTGCCCTAACTGGAAATCGAACATTGCAACCCTTTGGTTCACAGCCTGCTCTCAATCCACCAAGCTACGCCAGCCAGGGCAAATTGCAAATTTTTGAGAAGGGATTGCAAGGGAGCTAGAGGAGGAACATCGGGGTGTCGAGGTGACTTCCTAGGCAGTTAAGGGTTGTTTTTTTTTTTTCAATTATAGGAGTGATAGCTGCTTTCTGCTAAGTGGGAAGGAAATCTAAGTTTGGAACTCAGGGTGTATGTGTTTGGCAGCAAGTGGGTTACATAGGACAGTTAACATTTGGGCCAGCACACTGTAAAGAAGGGAAAGCTTCCCTTCCAGGTTCAACCGTTGAGTTTATCAAATAAATCAACAACAGGAAGATTAACAGGAGAAAAGGTATACAAATGTATTCATTTTTAATATTATATGCATGGAGAATTCAGAGGAGGGGGAAATTAGTGGGGTTTGAAAGCATATATACCATCTTAATAAGCGGAGGGGTGGGGAGAGGTGGGCCACTTAGGGGAGAGGGTAAATGATCTTTAAGAAAGATGAATGGGCCCGTAGAAGAACAGATGGGAGATATGATAGTTTGCATCAGTTTGTCTGGTTATGCGTCTAACCTCCTCTGCTGTGATGAGTCAGGCTTCCCTGGTTGATGAACCCTAAAAGGAGGGGGTTTATAACAAGGTTTATTACAATTGTGTTCCTCTACCTGAACTTGCTGTTTTTCAAGTGACTTCAACTTAAAATAATCAATATACCAACATGACATATTTGAGGCTGGCATTTCCTGAACTCCAAAAGCATCCAACCCCCGTTTCCCTTTTGGGAAAAACCTTAACTGTTGTCACAGTAAAAAGGAAATGCCAGTTATCTCTCATAGCTGTGTTTTTCTGCAGAAGCAGAGGTGGCTAGATCTTTCCTCTACCCACTCTCAGAAACAGCCAAGAAGCAGGCTCATGATGCATGAGTCCCAAGAACAATGCTAGAGCCATTCGGAAGACTATTATTTATTATTATTGTTGTTATCATCATCATCTAAACCATGCGAAGAAAGGCACTGATAGGTTTTGTGGCTTGCTTCCCTGAACCAGTCCACAGCGCCACCTTCTGGAAACCTTTGGTGATAGCCACCTTTCGGGAGCCAAAGTCATCAGCTCTTACTGGGAAACATCCTTTGCTCTTTGGACCGCAATAATCCACCTGCTCAGTGGTTCTAAGGGTTACATGCGACGGCACACAAAGCATGTCCCCCCTTTTGCAAATTATAAAAGAATACATATTCTTTCATAATAATGTGAGGCTGGAAGGAACAGGACTTTACTCAGGATCACACAGCATAGCACATTAGTAATAAAACTGATTCTACCCCCCAGGACAGGGGGTGGGGTTCTAGTAAAAGTTCAACAACTGTCTTGGAAGTGGGGGCATGAAGTGTGTGTAGTGTTTGTAGATTTTGATCATGTAAGCACTCCCACCTTCATCAATTTTAAACGATCTGTACGACATCACTGTATGCAGAGTTAGGAAGAGATGTACAGTAAAAGGCACAGCATAGTATTTCTACCATACTGATACAATAAGTTTATCACTTCAAAAGCATAGACAACAATGAAATGTATAAAAATAATTACATAGTGTGAGTTTGATTACCTCCATTTAATCGTAAGTTTATATCATTATTTTATTTAGATTTTATTTATTTATTTTCAGAGAGAGGGGAAGGGAGGGCAAAAAAGAGGGAGAGAACATGGATGTACGAGAGAAACATTGATCAGCCACCTCTCACACGCCTCCAGCTGGGGACCTGGTCCACAACGCAGGCACTGACTGGGAATCAAACTGCCAACCCTTCAGTTTGTGGGACGACACCCAACCCACTGAACCACATCAATCAAGGAAGTTTATATCATTTTTAAAAAATAATGGCTGTGGCCCTGGCTGGCGTAGCTCAGTGGATTGAACGTGGGCCTGTGAACCAAAGGGTTGCTGGTTCAATTCCCAGCCAGGACACATGCCTGGGTTGCAGGCGAGGTCCCCAATTGGGGGTGTGCAAGATGTTTCTCTCCCTCTCTTTCTCCTTCCTTTCCCCTCTCTAAAAAATAAATAAATTCTTTAAAAAATAATAACCTGGCTGGCATAGCTCAGTGGATTGAGCTCGGGCTTCGAACCAAAGTGTCGCAGGTTCAATT